GGGTGATTTCTTTTCCCCATCTCTTCTTTGTGATGGACTGATCATAAAGGGATGTTCTTAATTTTATTTTAAAATTTAAAAAACAGAAGAATGCTGTACCTTAAACTATAAGGGGTTTCACTTAAGGTGTATCGCTTCCTAATAATAGTAGTTAAAAGGACCATTTATCGAGTGCTTACCCCAAGCCAGTACTCACGCTTTACATGTATGAATGCATTTAAATCCTCGTAACAACCCCTACACATCTTCCCCATTTTATGGATGAGAAATCTGAGGTTCCACAAAGTGAGATAACTTGCCCAAAAGCAAAGGGCTAGGAGATGACCTGCCCATCTCCAGCGCCCACGCTCTTCACCACTATGCTGACCCTCAAGAAGCGCCCCTCAGGCCTCCATGTGAGAACTCTCTTTTGTTTCCTTGGCTTTCTGTCCCACTGAGCTGAAGGTCCCTACAGGCAGTCACTGGCTCCATCTGATTCTCCACTGTATCTCCAGGACCTAGGCCACTGCCTGGCACTCAGCAGCGGCTCAGGAAGTATTTGGTAAATGAATAAATGAGCAATGTAGCATGAGGTCAGGGCCACCTTCCTAGCCCTCAAGGGCAGCAAGTACATGTTCTACAAAAGCACAGTCCCCTCACTGGGGGCTCTAGATGTGTTTCAGTGATCATGGACTTATGGGAACTGGTCCAAGCTGGCAGCACATTTTGCCGACGCCTGTTTTGAAATAACCAGGCCTCTGGACACATTGTCCCAACACTGCCAATGCCATTTCAGGGGCCTTGCAGCGCTATAGAAGCTACCCCAATGAGATCAGCCAGCTAGATCTGACTGCCCATAGCAACCATCCAGGTCTGTGAGATGCCAATCTGTCCTGGAGAATGGCTGAGGGCAAGTCAGAACGTGGCTGGGGCTCCACGTTCTGGACACCCTGTGGGCTCTCACAGACCAGATCAAGACATGGAGAAAGGCCTCCCTAGCCACCAAGATCCCTTCTTTACAGCTGAGAAACTTCCAAGGATGTGTTAAATAGAAGCAACATTTGTCTGATTCATTTCAATTCTGCCATCACCCAGATGGGTCAGAGTGACTAAGAAAGGAACTGTGGCCTCAGGTTCTGAATGAACTGGCTCACGCAAGTGACTAATTCAGAAGACACCACAGATCCCAATCACAAGGGCCCTGTGCAGCCATGGGAAACAGAATCGGTGAACAGGAGGCTCACAAGTCAATCATTCAAACTTGTTCCCTGCAGCAGGGATCCTGCAATGTGAGACTTATCTGGGGTTGGGTGGGGACTAGGGGAAGGAGGGCTCACATGCAAGTAATGACCCCATTAAGCATATGCTGCATACCCACAGCCTCACGCCTGCCTCCTCAGGAGCTCACAGCTAGTGTGGGCTAAGACAAGAACACAGGTACATGACTAGAATTCTACCTAGATTTGACAAGGGCCCGCCATAAGGTGCTATGGGGTCCATGAGGAAGCAGTTCCAGGCAGCGGAGCATCCTCCAAATGGCTCTTTATCAAACACTCCACTTTGGCTAAGCAACATCCTCTCTGTGCCCCCTAATCCAGGCCCAGGCACCCTTCAGGAGGTACCCCCCAAGACCAAGAATAATGAGAGATTGGGCAGGGGGTAAGGGTGGGCAGGGAGACAGAGGAAAGTGAAGACATCCAGAGAAAGGGAAGAGGCCTGAGCTAGACACCTGATGATTTTTCCCGCCCAGCACCCATTCATCCCTTCTTCTGGTACTATCACCCCCCACCACAACCACCAGGCACCAACTCTCAGTCCATGTGGGCACGTGACCCAGGCCTAACCAATCAGTGTACCCCATCTTCCTGGCACAGTGATCACTCAAGGCTGGACACCTCCCTGATTTGGACCAATGAGAGCCAGATCCAGGGGTTTTGTCAGAGAAGGGGGGCTCTTTCTACCAAAAACTGGAATCACTCGTGAAACCTGAGAATGAAGCCAACTCAGATGAAAGCAGCGTGGAGAGCTGAAGAGAGACAGGTTCCTGAAGACACTGTTGTGAGTCCTGGAATCCAGGCTGCAGCCAGATCTAGCCCTGGCCTTGTCAGCTACACGAGCCAATAAATCCCCCCTCTGTCCTAAGCCAACTGGAAAGAGTCCCAACAAAGGACTCTCCCATCTGCCTGCTCTTCCAGAGTATTCTGAGGACAAAGAGACTTTCTTCTCTGGGGTAATAAAAGTAACTGTCTGGTGACAGATTGTCCCTAGGGTGAAAGCCACCATGGAGACAGAGTCCAGCTGGCCTTTCCTAGGACACACACTCATGACTGTCAACACACTTTCAAACAGTATCAGTCCATAATTGTAGATTTGTTTACCGTTTGTAGTAGCTACTGTTTGTGTCTTCCCAGCACCTTGCTTTGGTAGTGGCCCCTGCTGTTTCTCCACCAGATGGTGGATGGAGGCAAGGTCACGACCCAGGGCAGGTTTATCAGGACTGCACACCCTGGGCCACAGTGATTGACCCGAGAGGTCATGGGGGTCATGAAAAACCACTGAGAACTTTTCCCTGGGATTTTCCAAATTAGAACTGGGGGGAAGGAACCTTTCATTCAGGGTCACCACGCTAGGAAGATGTAAGTCTGGAGCTCTCAGCTGCCACATGCCCCAGCACATGCGGAAAGCCCAATTGCAGTAGGAGAAAAGGAAGCCAACACACAGGCCTGGGAGAGTTTGCCTGCTGTCTCCCAAAATCCATTCCCTCTCCTTCTTACTATTAGAATTCTCCTTCCTCAGAGTTTTGGCTGCCTGGCTAGACTAAATTTACAGCCTCCCTTGCAGCTAAATGTGGCCATGTGACAGGAGTAGGAACCTGGGCGTCTGATGACATCATGGAGCCCAGCCACCTACCTGCCCTGGACCACTTGTCTATCCCTGCACCATTAGTGAGAGAGACAGAACCTTCAATCTCGTACTGAAATAACCTTCCACCACTCTACGTTAATGGTCTCTTTGTTACAGCAGCCCAGTCTATACCTTTACTAATGTGAAGGTGAAAAGATATAACAAAGAGCCCTGATGGGGTTTAAATCTCTGGATATAGCTGTCCCTGCCATGATGATAAATTACTCACAGAGCGCTTTCTAAGTGCCAGGAACTGTCCTTCATGTTTACATATTGTACCTCATTTAATCCAGACCAGTTCTACAAGGTGCTTGTCATGGGGTACAGCTTAGGATACCAGGGCACAGAAAGAATAGGTAACTTGGCCAAGGTTCACACTACACTGCCTCTTAAGCTAGTCTTTTCCATGGTTTGCTGTGTAAGCCAATAAAACCCCTTTTTTGCTTAAACTGGTTCAAGCTGGATTTCTGGCACTTACAACAAAGCGTTCTAACTGGATTTTTGTCTAATCTAGTTTGTATATTCTTCTATAGAGTGCCAACCACGTGGTACAGAATTTTAAGACACCATTTAATGGTTGCAAGCAGGAAAATTCTCCCAAGGAACCTGCTCCCATTTAACTAGCTAGACCACAACTGTAGCTACAGGGCAACAGGGCACATTGCAAGGAGCAGGTCCCCTCAGAGGGGACACTCGGCTTCTTGCCTGCGGCACACATTGTAGTGGTTCACCCAATACCACTCCCAACCCCCTTTTCCCTTGCCTGCCTTAAAAAGCAAAATACTTTCTCAGCTTTCCGTACAGCAAGGGCTGGCCAGATGACACAATTTGGGGCAATGAAAGGTATTCTAACAGGGAGGGATTCCTGCACAGTGATTAAAAGAATGGCCTCTAGAGCCAGAACGCCTGGATTCACCATCATACGAGCTGTATAAATTTCAGCACTTTACTTAACCTCCGCTCCTTGGGGAGAGTAACTGTATCTACCTCATGATTGTCGTGAGGATTAAAGGAATTAATAAACGTAAAGAACTCAGATGAGTACCTGGTACATGGTAAACACTATAAATGTTAGCGACCACTATTTTATCACCTGTGTGTGCCAATATGGAACAACCTCTAAGACATGGTAAGTAAAAGCGGCAAGGTGCAGAACAGCGTATCTAGTGTGTGCTTGCATTTGTGTGAATACAAAGAGGCTGGCGTGTAGATACATATATCTACTTGTGCAGACACAGGCTATCTCTGGTAGGACAGACCAAAAACTGTTCAGAGTGGTTGCCTCTGTGAAGTGGAACGTGGAACCGGGATTCTGGATTGGGAAGATCTACTTCATTATATGTCCCTTCTTTACTAAATGGATTGGATTTTTGGAATCATGTACTTGAATTAAAAATTTTTAAATTGCGTTTGTTTTAAGAAGTTCAAAAACCTCCATTTTCTCTTAATTTTGGTTGTTCAGTAACAAAATGGTCAGTCAAAAAAATTATATGTCAATTATATCTCAGTAAAGTTAGAAAAGAATAAATTAAAAAAGAGAATGGACAGTCAGTCCATAAAGTGGCAAGCTTCGTTTTGGAGGTATTCAAACACAGGCCGGATGGTAACCTGTGAGACATGCCCTGGAAGATTTCTCTAGTGAGCAAGAGGTTAGCCTAGAGAGCATCTAAGCTCTGCTCATTTCAGAGTCAACTTTTCAGCGGCATGAGAAGGGAGCTAGGGGAGATGAAAGGATGTGACAAAAAGGAAACAACCCTGCAACCATCACAGACTGCTGGTATCAGACAGCACCCACGGCAGATGTGCTCAAAGGGCAAGCCCGTCTCATCTCAGGGCAGAGCTGAAGAGCGTGGGCTGTGGAGCCACACTGATGTGGGTGTGACTCCTGGGCCAGCCACTTCTTCACTGTACGGATTGGACCAAGTTCTCTAAAATCTTTGAGTTTGTTTCTCATCTGTAAAATGGGAATAACATCCACCTTACAGGGTTGGTGTGAGCCATAAGCAGGCTAGTGAATGTCAAGTCCGCAACAGGGCACTGGGCACATAGTAAAGTGCCCGAGGAATAGAAGAAGCCATCGCTGGAGGAGAAGAGTGATCATCTCAAATGACCTGTTTCATGTGTCAAGCTTTTAATGTACAAACATAAAAAGAGGAAAAACCAGAAGGCAGTTTTACATGGAACTAGTGGAGATAATTACATATAGCTGGTTTTGCAAACACCGCAACTGGATATTAAGTCAAGACGGCTCCAGCGGCTCCTGCTAGATCCTAACCTTCAAGGCTGAACTGTCCTACCCTATTCACGGCAGAATCAGAGCACTACATAAGGCCAACCTCTCAGGTCTTCACTTCTAAATCTTCCTTCTAAACCAAGAGGTCAGAGCACAACCAGGGAGCGTTATGCTATTACTCAGAAGGAGATGGTAAGAACAGCACTGGCAACTTCATTTACTCCTTGGGGATCTGTGCCCACAGAAAGATTTTAAGAGGCCTTCAGGTATATATGTGTTTGGGTCCAAGTACAGATATTTTGGTCTGAACTGTGAGGTTTACAGCATGTACAGGGTGGGTTGAAGTGTTACAAATCCTACATCTTCAGTGAAATAAGGCGTTTACTGCTGTCTCCAGATACCAAGGCAAGGACTGGCTGCCAGACTAGTCCACCACATGGGAGACTCAAACCTGGGACTTTGCAAAAATAAAATCTGGGTGCTGAGGGATCCCCTTTTAGTGAAAGCCAAAGTTCCTAGAACAGAATGCTAGAAAGTCTTTTATTAGTCACCCTGGGTTAAAATGACAGTTGAGGTCATTTTGGGAAGAAGAGAAATACTAACCACGCCTCCCTTCAAGTTTTAGTAGCCAACAGGAATCTGGGCTCTGAAAAGTCATGAACACTTTTTCTCCAAGATTATGAGCAACTGGCCAAGCGTGTTAGCAGGAGGAAAGCTGAGAGTGATCCATGTGAGTAGTGTTCACGGTGGGGAGCTTACGGCCATGAGCAGCACACCAGCTTCGTAAACTCCACACTGGGACAGAGTGCTCTGCTCTGCAGGCCTGCTTCAGGCAGGATCCAGCCATCCACAGGACCCAGGGGTGGGAGTGTTGGGAACAGACGATTCTGTGTTCCACAGATAATGGTATGAAGTGACTGTTAATAGATAAGGTTTAAGCACAGCATTTGGAGACGACTCCTCCAGACGTCCTGTTATTAAAGTCTTAACAGCTTAGAGCCTGGAAGGATTGAGAAATTCTAAAGAATTAAACAAAAAAACCCAACAACAACAAAAAAGGAAGGGTGGGAGGTGTCAAAGACACAAGAGCTCTGTGTAGATGCTGACAGGTTCACTTTGTCCCCAAGTTCATCTCAGAGCTCAAGCGAATTCAAGACACGAAGCAGCGACATTAGACCTGGGTCAAGGGCAAAAACTTCTGGTAGTAGCTCTTGGTGACGTCAATCATCAGCTCCTGGGTACATTCTGGGAGCTCCCCTGAGAAGAGTCCTGGGGAAAGAAAGACCTGGTCAACCACAGGGAGCCAGGGGAGGCCTGCAGCTCTGACTTCTGTTTAAACCCCTAGAGGGCTCTTTTCTCTAGTCTAGGGAGTCTAAATGCCAGGTTTTCCATCTTTGGTGTTAACAGAATATTTCTACTGACTATATCTTCCAGATGTTTTAAATTTTCGTGTGGGGGGGAAACAAATAATACTGATCTCAAAACAGAGAAATACAGTCCAGGTAAAAGAGGTACATTATTGCATAATCTGAAGAGTTAAGGCTCTCTGACTACATCGGAGGTTGTTCCAGACAAGGAGTCATCCATCCCCTGATTCTGGTGTGACACCTATTGGGCAAGCCAAAGTGAGCGCTCCTGAGGTAGGAAACTGCCCTGCTATTCATATAAGGAAACTGAACGCAACGCCTGAACACGCTACACACAGACAAATCATGGATGGGAGTAGAACAGAAATGTCCTACAGAAAGACAAAGGATGGGGCAATCATATTTAAGAATTTCTGGGAAAGAGGCACTTGTACACAGCATGGGTGGAAGTATAAACTCATATAACCATTTTGAAGAACAATTTAGGACTATCTAGCAACTTTTACAAGTTCATACTCTGTGACCTGACAATCCAACTTCTAACAATGTATTCTACAGCTAATCTTGCCCAATCACACAGTACATGTACAAGAGCATCGATGCAGCAAAATTTCTAATCCTGACAAACCAGGTACAACTTCTAATGACCCATTATACTAGAGGACTGATTAATTACATTATGATACACATATGCAATGAAAAACAGGTAACCAGTAAAAGGAAAGAGGTGAGTTTCTACATACTGACAAGAAAAGATGCCCAAGATACACTGTTAAGAAAGCAAGTTTCCAAACAGAATAGTGTGATTCTGTTTATATAAAATTTCATATACCCATATTATATACACAAATATGTATACACACATATATATACACTCATATACAGGCAAAAACATATGCACTTGTATATACATAGAGAGAAAATAACAGGTAGGATAGAAAAAAATCGTCTAAAAAAGTACATAATTCCCACAGGCACCTTTTACAAATTAGCAGCCCATGTTAGATTTGCAAACATGTTTGGTCTGCACAGTATTTAATCTTTTTAAAAAATTAGTAGCAAACATTTAAAAATTCAGAGATATCACAAAAATTCAGATTTTTAGCTCCTCATGAAACATCAGAAGATCTCATAATATTAGGCCTGTATTCTTAAACAGCTATGACAGGCTATTACTTCAATCATTTACAGATCTGCCTGGCTCCTGCAGGCACCTGAGTTTTTGGCTCTTGACGCAGATCCTTTCTGGATAGTTTACAGTTTGCCTTTCATCTTGTTCCATGATTCAGTTTCACGCAGTGGAGCCCTATAAAAATGTGCGAGTTTTCCTGCAACCCTATGCCTCTTTATTAAAGATGGAGATTGCCATTAGCAGTATCTACATGGTTAGCATTTGTTTGTCAAACTAAGTAAAATAAACATGGGAAGTATCTTATCACAGTGCAAAAAGTACTAGCCTCTAAATAAGGGGTCTTCAGTGCTAGTCAAGGCTTTCCCACTAACCAGCTCTGACACCTTGGACAATCCACCCCTCTCGGCCTCAGTTTCTTCATTTATACAATGATCTCTAAGGTCCCAGCAGCATGAATCCTCCATCAGAACCTCCAAACACAGAGTTGATTTGGATTTCAAATACCAAGCAGTGCTTCCCTGCCTTCTGCCATCAGTACTGAACAACCACAGTAAGTTCGTTTAACCCTGAATAAGTTAAAAGAGATTAAAATATTTCTCTGGCAATAGCATCCTCATCTCAGATCAGATGCTTGTTTGACAATCATTTAAAACAACTGCTGGGGCTGTTCTGGTCTAGCACTTGCTAAGAACAATTAAACTTTTTCACACTGGGAACCCAATATGAGGGGAATAACTAAACAAAAGTTTCTTCTTCCTCCTCTGCAAAAGCAGACATGCATGAAACAGCAGAATGGCCAATTCCTCCCCAAAGAATCTGAGTGGATGATTCGGACATCCTCTGAGTAATGAGATTGTTTTTAATTGGAAAAACAAACCACCAGCGGTAGATATCATATATTGTCAAATCTCTCTCTTCATATCATCTTCCATCCGTGAATTTGTGATGTGCCTCTGTAGACGCTACGTGATTTCAACCGTGTAAAACAATATGTAGAAGAAAACAAACTGTCTTGGGGGGAGGAAGAATGTGAGGTTTTCTTCTCCCTTCTGCCTGTCAGTGTTTTCCAAGCCTCCTAGGATGAACACATATTTCCTTTGTTGGCTCACGTTTTATAATTTGGAACTCTGAGCTCATGAGGGGCTTTACCTGGTGGTACTCTGCCAGCCAAGGTCAAGAGGTGACATACTTGCTTCCGTCTGGTGTCCTAGAGCCGTGATTGGTCTTAGACCATGTATTATCTTAACTTTTCAGTTTGGGCATTTCTGGGCAGTGTGGGAAGTACAAATTCAAACTCCCAACCAATGTGGGGGTAAGGCCACAGTTAGAATTCTCTGGAGAGACTTTTCCTTTTCCCATCTAGAGCCCGGGCCAAGAGAGACACGCTTATTTGTACGTTTCCTGTGCTGGTGGCAGATTTGTTCTACATCAACTTTTTATTGAGGGACCACCCTTCAAGAGGCTCTCTCTGCCATGTGTGGTTGCAAGGCTTTATCTCTCATCCCCACACGAGTATCAAACCCTATACCACTCTATTATGAAGATGCATCAACCTAAGCATGCTTACAGTGTGGGTTTAGTTTCCTCTTTGCTTCCGACCCTTGATAATTTCCTTGTGAACCTAATTACGCATTGAAAAGGATACCTGTCATATTTTAGATAGCATTTCTAGGTACTTTGTAGCAGGAGAATTTTTAAGTCAGCTGGAACCACATAGTGTCAGAGACAGATATTGCATGCATTATTTTTGTGATAGGAAATAAACTTGAGTTTTAATAATCAACACCCAAGGTTACCTGGGCAGCCTGAGAAGACGGTGAACGGTGGGACCACAGTTTCTGGGGGTAATACTGTGTTGTCGAGAATTTTGCAGCAGTCCTTCAACACACACCGGCGCCCCTGAAATGAAAATCTTGTTAATAGGAAATAGACCTGGAAATGGGAGTAAAAGCTGTCTAGTCTGCTGTGTGGAGGCTATTTTATATTTTCTCCATTCATGATATTATATAATAGCCAGGGAAAGTGACAAGAGGCTTGGCTACAATTCCATACTTCAGGTGGTACCTGAGAAGGAGGAGGAGGAGGCAAGGATGTGAACGTGTAAGTGTGTATGTGTGTGTGTGTTTGTGTATATTTAGGGTGGGGCTGTATGCTAGAGACAGTTCTGGTTATCTTAGGTATTACAGACTATGTGAAATTTGGTCTTCCAAGAGTTCTGTTTAATTTTTTTGTTCTAATTTCATGGACATCTATGGTTTTGCTTGTTCAACATCCATTCCCTTTTCTTCTGGCAATGGAACCTATATTTTCTTTGGGAACCATCCCTAATCTCATCTCAGTCCATGTGTTTCACATCCCATCCCAAACCCCAAACTCCAAGCCTGGCCACAGCAACTGGTTTAGGGAATCTGCATAGAACCAAATCGGTCTGATAAATCTCAATGTTGGGGCTTCTGCTGGGACTACTGGGAAAAGAAGCTCTTTCTTGAAAGTTTGGGGTTTCTAGAAGATAAGATAGAAGCCTGAACAACTGTGTTGTTCCCATGAGGGAAGAACCTGCCTTGAGAGCCCCCCAGGGGAAAAAAAGGGATGGGGACTAATTCTCATGACATCAATTGAACTCCTGGAGCCATTTGTGCATGAAATTAGGATCTGCTTCTGTACTCTTGGTTTATATTAGCCAATACGTTCCATTTTACACCTATAAGTTTATGGTTTGTTTGTTCTTTTGTCGATTTCAACTGGACAAGTTTTGACAAATTCATTTGGATATGAAGTTATTAGGTCATTTGTTCTCCCACAGATGAGTGGTAATTATTTGAAGATTTAGGCTGAACCCTATGTTTGACTTTATCCACTGCCATCACTTTTCAATTCTGCCATCACCTATGGCATTTTTGAGAGCAAGAAATAAGGTCTGGGAGAGTCATTTATTTCATGGGTTAAGGTAAAGGAGAGGCTTCTGTATACAGTTTAAAGTTGTGCCTCAGACTACTTGCTGAGTAAATGCAAGTTTCGGTCTTCATTGACTGTGTTTACATCACCAGGGCCTGTAAGTTCACTGGTGTTCCAGTCAGATGATTTGGTAAAATACACCCAGCTGAGAATGCGGAACTAACAAAGAGCAGGACAATGCTAACCCATCTAGATCTCAGATTTTACCAAAGAATGTGAAAGATACTTGTTTTGGTTGTGTTCAAATTCTCCCCATTATTAAAAACCCAAATCATATGTATTTCCAGGTAGATTGTCAAATGAATTTTTTAAAGAGCTTATACCTCTAAGGTATTAATTTCTTCTTTGTTTTTTTCTTTTTGCGGAGGAAGATTTGCCCTGAGCTAACATCTGTTGCCAATCTTCCTCTTTTTGTATGTGAGCCACCGCCACAGCATGGCCACTGACAGATGAAAGGTGTAGGTCCACACCTGGGAACTGACCCCAAGCTGCCAAAGCGGAGCACACTGAACCTAACCACTAGGCAACTGGGGCTGGCCAAGGTCTGAATTTCTTAAGTGGCTGTAAGTTGTCTCCAGCTGGGTGGATAATAGCTTTGGCAACATCTTTCGCTCAGAAACAAGTTATGACTGCAGCTCTTCATTCCTCCTTGGAAAGTTGTCTTCCATGAATTACCTGCTATTGGCAATTTCAAAAATACGGCAGCTGGCCAGCTCCCCTGGTGACTCCCAAATTAATTCAAAGATGTCCTATGATACCTAAGCTCCTAATGACTCAGACTAAGCATACAGGGCACTTAATAAAAGGAAGGAGAATGTGCTGCATAAGGCATGATCCATTCACATATAGGGATCCATAGACAAAGGGCCCTGGAAAAGAAGAACATTAGAAATGAATCTTTTCACTGTGCACCACAGGCCACCACACAGCCTGTAGGCACCTGCTTTGTTCACTAGTTGGCCATTCTGCCCACTCAGAGAAATGATGCTTAACTGGGTTTCAAAGCATTGTAGGTAAACTCATCAATTAAATAGCAGCCAAACATAAAATGCAAGTACTTCATAGGCATGAAGGGATTGGCAATAGCTGAGGAGGTTAAAAGCCGAAACTAATTCTTTATTCTTTCCTGGAGATCTTTCCTAGGAGGAGTCAAGAACTGCATGTTGCTGGTATTACAGCAATTACTATATCTCTTTAGGCAAGTTATTTAGCATCTCTGAGCCTTGGTTTCCTCATCTATGGTAAAGCCAAACCTGCAGGGATGCTGTCAGGGTTAGAGATAATAAACGTTTAACACTCACAGTACAGTAACAGTGCCTATTAATATTGCCTGTTAGGCTTTTCCTGCAGAAATTTGGGCAATTCGGATTAATACGCACACCTTCACATATCCAAAGAGAAGTTAGACTACCACATAGGATGCTACAGGAAGGATCTGCGTGTTAAGGGGACAGCTAAACCCTAAAAAAGTGCCTGCTAGCTCTGCGATTCTAGAATTCTAAACGGATCTTTCTCCTGAAATTACTTGAGAATTTGTAAAGGTTCAGCAAGTAAGTACAGCAAATAAGTAAGAGTGAACAATGGCTATGTCATAAATTGACGTATTAAAAAGTGGTAAAAAAAAAGCAGAGCACCTAACAATAGGACTGAATTTCCTAAGCATTGGGAAGAGCATTTGGAGTTTAACCTTTCAGAGATTCTGCTCTGGGGATAAGACACAGGGCTAAAGGACTAGGCTACTATGGTGATGTCTTCATGTCATTGAGGAAAATAGAAGAAAAACCCAGCTATAGGTTGGAAAGCCAGCTTTTGTCAAATAGTCAGAGTGAGAGGAGAGGATAGATTTCACTATGTTCCCCCTTCCTCCAACATCAGGCTGAACCACAGACTTTCTGTCTCCAACACATACAAAGGAACTCCTCTGGACGAGAATATTTGGTAAAACAATCACTCTCCTTAATTCTGAGTAACAAGGCAGACTGGAATGTTTTTTGCAGCAATGTGGTTCTCCACTGCACCGTCTACCTTTGCTGTGCCCTCATGGTTTCTGGAACGTTACTGTAAGGTTTCTGCCAGTTTTTTGATACTTTAGTGTCTGAGTCTTATCCAGAGCAAAGAGCTGGCTCTGCATTAATGGGAACAGCCATTTAAAAACTCGGAAAAGGTCTCGGCTTTTCCTAGAATCTAGTCTGAGGTACTAATTAATTTGTTTGTTTGTTTGTTTTCATTCAAACAGTATTTGTTGAGCCCTTGCTGTGGATCAGGTGCCATTTTAGAAGATGGAGACACAAATCTGAAAGGTTCCTGCCCTCCCACCCTCCTGCTGCTGGCTCTGCTGCCTCAGGGCTAAAGCCTTGTGTTTTTACAAGACCTTGGAGCAGGACTAATGTTCTCCTAACCAGCTTTCCGAGGTTTGCGACCCTGTGACTCTAGACTGGTCATTTAATTTCTGTCTCTTGGACTCCTCATCTATAATATCAGGAATAACGATACCTCCCTCAAAGTTATGAGAATGAAATGAAAAAGACTTACGTGGGAAACATAAGGAAACTCAAAGCAGCACGACATCCAACTTAGTGCGCATGCAGTAAGTCAAGGCTCATTTTCATTCCATTAATGCTGTGATTTGGATTTCTGTACATTAAATTCTAATTTCACTGTCTCAGGCTTTATAAAGACATTTTAGTGTGAATACTCCTCCAAAGATACTAGTTCACCCTCTCTACTCAGCCTCCAACTTTTTGTTTTTTTGGTGAGGAAGATTAGCCCTGAGCTAACGTCTATTGCCAATCCTCCTCTTTTTGCTGAGGAAGATTGGCCCTGGGCTAACACCCATCCCCATCTTCCTCCACTTTATATGTGGGACGCCTGCCACAGCATGGCTTGATAAGCGGTGCATAGGTCTGTGCCTGGGATCTGAACCTGTGTACTCTGGGCCACCAAAGCGGAGCGCGTGAACTTAACCACTACGCCACTGGGCTGGCCCTCCAACTTATTTTTTTATAATGCAAATTTTTCACCTACTTGATTTAAGTGGGGGGTCACCTATATTAAAGAGCCCACCCAGTTTCTAAATTTGTCCTGAAATCTTAGGCACGCAGGCAAAGGTCGCCAGAGGGCAGCCCTGAAGGTAAGAGTTGAATGCATGTACACTCTAAAGATGCCACAACATCAGTAAACCTCCCCGTGCCCACAGGGCTCCCACAGTTTTGCAAAGAATTATTCAGCTTCTTAGACCAGTGGTTGGAGCTGAGAATCTTGTGTCTCACAAAGAAAGAAAAAACAAAATTTTTAAATTTATTCTGTAGACTGTTTACATTGTCCCACAACGCTGTAAACTGTAAGTTTCCCTATTTCTATATTAACTGGTTTCATTCCGTTGAACCTGTTGTTTTAAACAAAAATTCAGTAAAAAATCAGCCCAGGTTCCAGATTAGCTAAAATGCAGCTGGTTTCAGGGTTGGAGAACAGAAAGAATCATAACACCAAGCAAGCTCTGAGCCAGGCTGAGGCCAGGCGGTTTTTCTCAGAGCTCCTCAATTCACAGGACACAAGAGGCAAACTGCCATCGTTTCCCTTCTTGGCACACTTTTATCACTTCCAGCCTTATCCACACCCTCAACTCTTCTCTCACTTTTAGTTGAGCTTCCCACTTAACTAAAATTGGTTTTCCTCTACGTGTCCTTTAAGATGTCAACTCTAGGGGGCTTCAACTATAAAGGAGAGTGGTCAGCTCAGGTACTTGATCAGGCAGAGTTCATTGGAGGCTCGGCCGGCTTCACCCTCTCCATGGAGTTAACACTCCTGGTGCCACCATGGGACATCCTGGCACCCCACAGGCTATGTCTGCGAAAGCCTTAGCTGGGTTGCTGTTGCTGCTGCTGGTTCGCTGTGACTGTATCAGGTCATAAAGTTTCACCAGTCTTTAAACCAGAATCACCCTAACTGCAGGTGAGTGGGGGAGGTGGAGCAGGACCTCAGTGTGCCCACTCACCTGCCCCATCCTCTCCCTCCAGGCGGTCTCTGAGGTACAAATTTAATGAGGTGCAAAGGTAGGAAACATTTTCCCTAAACATTTAGGCAGTTCGGCTCTAATCATTAACATTCTCACCCAGGATGTTCTCATAAATTCTTTTTTTTTTTTTTTAATTTTATTTATTTATTTATTTTTCCCCCAAAGCCCCAGTAGATAGTTGTATGTCATAGTTGCACATCCTTCCAGTTGCTGCATGTGGGACGCAGCCTCAGCATGGCTGGAGAAGCAGTGCGTCGGTGCGCGCCCAGGATCCGAACGCGGGCCGCCAGCAGCGGAGCGCACGCACTTAACCGCTAAGCCACAGGGCTGGCCCATGTTCTCATAAATTCTAAGTGAAATCAAGCTTTTCATCTATGAAATACCAAGAAATCCAACCTTATAAAGGCTTTATCGGATTAAACAAACGATGCGTAGGCTCCTGTGGACCAAGGTCCTACAGATTCTGCTGAGCAAGGGGTCCACTTGCACCCTGCATACCTATCACGCTGAACTACTTGCAGCTCCCCTAACACCATGCCCCTGGTGACGCTGACCCTTGCACATGCCAATCTCTTTCCTGAAATGCCCATCCTCCCCTTGTCTACAAGCTAACTTCAACTCACCCTTCTAGATCCTCTTGCCTCCACTAGACTGTAAGATCCTTGAGCTAAAGCAACAGGTAGGCCATATAGCAGCATGGCTATTCGTACTGCTTGGGTTCAAATCCCAGCTCTACCGCTTACTAGCCTTGTCAAATCCCCTAACATCTAAAGTCTTCAGTCTTCCCATCTGCAAATAGGGATAATAACAGTACCTACCACCCTGGGATGGTTGTGAGGATTAAATGAAATAATCGAAGGAAGCAGTTTAACACCATATGGAAGAGGTTGAATAAAGGTTAATTATGATTATTAATGCCTAGAAAAAACTCCAAATCCAATAACAATTTCGGTAGAGCAGTAGACCAGAAACAACGTCTACCTGCCTGGTCAGAGAAGCAGAGGCCCGCTAATGTGAGGGACAGGAGCTGGAGGGAAGTGAGGCCGCTTAGCCAGCCAAGTCACCATACTCACAATCACACAGTTCTTGCCAACGTGAACGTAAGAGCCAATCTGAGCGGCGTTGACCACACAATCTTCCTCGATAAAGACATGGTCCCCAATATGTAAAGGAAAGAATGCGACACTAGAGAAGGAAAGAAGATGAACAAGGAAAGGTCAAGGTGCTGCACTTCTGGTCAAGGTTTATAGAACTACAGATCGTAATCTCAACTCCATCATTTTGTCTTAATAAGACTGTTCCTAGCAAGGAAAGAATCCTCAACCTAGAGAAATTCTATAATGTTCAAGATGAATGTGACTGCTAGCTCAAAATCATAAATATCAGACCAAAGAAAGGTGCAAGCAAACAGCAAGGCAGAAGGACCAAGAGCTTCAAAGCTGAAAGAGCCGGCACCAAATAAAAATGAACAAATGTTTGCTCGTTCTTGTTTCCTTTGAAAATGCTCACAGATCACATTTTCAATAATCTACTCTATAATCCTTCAGGGAACTGACATCAGGTTCATGGGATATAATTTCTAGCACCCAACATTCTGAAAATTTATATATTCACTGATTTTATTGAGTGCCTACTATATGCCAGACTCTATGCTAGGAATTGGGGATACAATGGCAAGCAAAAGGGGCACAATCCTGGCCATGAGGAGCTTACAATTAAGAAAAGAAAGATTCAATAAATGATTATATAAGTAATTAGTTACAACTGTGATAAAATAAAGGAAAAATACCCTTTTGAGAGGGTATTATAAGAGTGTCTATAAGAAGGAGACTTTACCCAGAGGTAAAAGTCTCTACCCTGGAGGTTTGGTAAAAGCTTAATTGAAAGTGACATCTAAGCCAAGACTTGAAGGGTGAGTAGGAGTCAGTAGGCTTTCTCCACACCTCTGGCATTGTTCCCATTCTCCAGGATTCCCCAGTCAATGTCATTGACAGTGGTTCTATGATCACATTTACAAGTAATTTCAGTACTTTGGGATGTAAAATATTTGGATTGGAACTAATATAAACTAGCTGATGTTCACTAGCTCTTTCTAGTCTTGCACTCTATTTTGTCAGGAATATTTTGTCAGAGATGATACCTCTCCTCCACAGACCTATAATTTATTTAACTCTTCCTTAATCTGTTCCTGTTATTAGTCTGGACCCCTTGTGTGGCAATGAATTCCTTGAACTCATCACAGTCTATAGCAGTACTGCCAGTTCTTTAATTTCAAATTAAAAATTCGAAACTTTATACTATTATCTGGTTCTAGTATTGGGATATGCAGGGAAAAAAATTTACATTCACCTTCTATTCATGTGTTGCTATTTATACTTTCATACTTCTGTATTTCTCACGTGGACTATTCTTATTTATACATCCCTCCATTCACCAATAAACCTCTTGTTCATTCTTGGTGCTTTCCCTGGACCACATCCAGCCCAATAATGCTTTTATCAGAAGGTGGAGTCAACAACTCTAGCAGAGTATCACTCACTATATGAAACCAGAAGAGGGTACCACAAGGTTTTTTGGTTCCCCCTCAACAGCCTTCTGAACTAATGAGTGAATGTTTTCATGTGAATGATTTACAATGACTCCCTGCTCCAATTCTGGCATGACATGGAAAGCCTGGAGCCCAGTACCGTTATGGGAAATGCAGGATTCTTCCTGCATGATATACTCCTAGGTATCAAAGTTAGTCTGAGTTAGTTGTTCTCTTCTCCATTCCTCCCTAACCATGTTCATACCCCTGCAATAGGAGTATCACACTATATAGTGGCTATCATGTTATATAGTAGCTATCTGTTTGTGTAACTGATTTTACCACTAGGTTTTGAGAACCTTGAGGGAGAAACACCATTTTCTCCATCTTTATATGTCCAGTTTATAACCTAGTGACCAGCATAAGGAAAGCACTCAATAAATGCTTGTAGAATTACTGGATGAAATGCAGATGGTGCCATAGGTAGGAACCAGGAGAGCAAATTAGCCAAAGGGGAGACAGGCAAAGAGAATCCCACCACAGCAGGCACAGTGGTCAGTTTATCTGCCTTGTCCATGTCCTGTCTTGGACAATCCCTACTCCCAGTGAGAGATCAGTGGGCCTGACTTAACTCTGCCCTCTGGGTCAAAGCTGTTTAGACCAGGGGTGGGCACTTAACTCAAGCTGAGCCAATCAGATTCCCTCTCCAAAGCTTTTGGAAATAAGACCTAAGATCTCTAGTTGGTATCTGCTGGAAGCCTAAATGGAGAAGTGATGTAAATAAGGGACTGAGGCAGCCAGGTTGGCTCCAGGAGCAAAGGCAGAAGATACAGCCAATCTGAAGGAGAGGAGAGGGAAGCAGAAGTGCAGAGAGAAGAACAGATAAGAAACCAGAGAATCTTGGAGACAGAGCAGCAGATAGAATAGTTGTCTTGATTCTGGCTAGCTGTCCAGTAGCAGTTTCTAGTCCCTGGTGAGGCCTGGCCCCTTTTTCTACCCTTAGGTTCCATCAAATATGCCTGTATCTGTTTAATCAGAACACCCTTTGCTTTTGCCAGCTTAAGAGGATTCCATTTCTGGCACCTAACCATCAACTAGACTAAGACAACCACCACCAGAGTTGTGTTCATTATGGTGAATTCTTACTCAGTGTCACAAACAACAACACAGACCTGCTCCTTACACCACAACTCAACACGTGGATAACACCACCAGTAGCAGCAGCTTGCCCAAGACTGAAACAAGGTAATTAAATTACATACCCTTTGCTGAATTTCTTGAATGGTGGCCTTATGACACTCCGACTTTTCACAACACAATGACGTCCAACTCTTACATTTGCCAGATCTCCTCGGATAATACAGTCATTCATCACAATGGTCTATAAAACAAAGCACATTTTAAAAAATTACCAACATAGCCCAAAACATAACAACAAAAAAGAGCAGATATAAGACACTAATTGAGATGCTCTGATCTACTGAGCTACATGTTCTGTCAAAAGGGGTAACTTGTAAGGTAAAGAGAACTGCCCTCATAACATCGACTACAGTTGAAGATGTTCCCTTAATATCCCATGAACAGGACTCACTGAATGAACAAACATCTATTGAGAATATCTGTAGCAGACCAAGCTCCTGCACGTCCTCAGATTCACTCGGTTCCACCTGACCCCAGGCCTTGGCTGCTTGCTCAGTGAGTCCTGGCTGCCCCTACCTTTGTCCAATCTCCTAACACTACTATCTCTAACTTCATTAGCCCAGAGGTGGACCCACTGAGCTGGTTCCTCTCCCAATTTCAGGACTCAGATTAAGTGCTTCACTGCAGGGTGTGACATCTGGCTTCCCCAGAGATTGCCTGGAGGGGGTGAATAACACCACTTAGAAGTTTAGGGGAATTAATGCCCCATACTTAGTAAAGAGTAGGCTTTCTTGAAATGTCTCTTGAATAAATGGGGTAAAAAAAAGTGCATATAGCTGGAGTGACAGCTGGAAAAGTAAGCAAGGGACCAGATGATGAGGAATTATGTATGCTGAGCATAGAAGCTTAGACTCTCTTTCCTAGAGGATATAAGGAATCAATCAAAGATTTTAAGCAGAGGATTAACACAACTGAATCTTCATTTTAGAAATATTACTCTG